TAGAAAAGCCAGACAGATCTGGAGAATGCCTGGAAATCACTGTCAAGTTAATTAAATGGTAACTCTAATGACAACTCCTTTTCCAGGTGTATTTTTGAGACTGTAGCAAATTAGCATAGTCCCTGGTTTTGGTATGCAACTAACAAATGTTTTTCTCTATATCAATTAGTAAAGATTATCAAAAGTGTTTTGCTGGGAACCAGCAGTTAGCGTAATGGCTATATCGCTGGACTCCCACGTAGTCGACCGCGGTTCGTGTCCCAGACCCGGTGGCTTAAAACTCACGCCGGGCGCGTGTGCGTGCATGCCCAAGATCCCGAGAGGAGAATGGAGGAGAAGGGATTGCGGCGTGACCATTCCCCCTGGGGGGTGATTTCTCGCTTTCTGTCTCTATGTCTCTCTCTGTCTGTCTGGCGAGCGCACATGCCCTACAGTGAAAATCTCTCAAAAAAAAAAAAAAAGTGTTTTGCTTTCGCTTGGCAGAGACATCAGCAAACCTTAGAGGTGGTTGAATGCTCCTGCCTGTCATAATGCAGTCCACTGGGTCATCTGGACATCTCACTGGAGGTCATCATTAGCACCATGCTAATTGTATCTTTTCAGCAGAAAATAGCAAGAATCCCAGATGTCATGTTAATACAGATTTATACCAAGAGGTGGAAGAAAAATCACAAAAATTCAGGATCCTGACATTAGCGACATTTAAGAGGATTTGTAGGTTTGCTTGAGACACATCTGTGCCTTACATTTGACTAAATCAGAGGCATAAAGCTGAGTGGGACTTTGCATATAGGGGGCAACATACACTGCATTTCAGTATGCCGCTCTGACCTACATACTGAGAAACTGGTAATTCTGCCAGTATTGAGAAGGCCCAGGGCAGGCGAAGGCTGCAGAGTGAGATCTGTGCCACTTGGCAGATTCCAGTAGCAAATGGCGATACTGGATGGAGCATTCTGCATGGCCCAGGTAAAGGACAAGTGCTTTATACATGGGAAATTCACCCTCCTACCCACCACGAACTTAGTACTCTCCGATCCAGCCAGCTAAAAGCTTGGATGTATGCCTCTGCCATCCATTATGAAATGGAAGTCCTTTATATGAGAATGTATTTGGGTAGGTTGAAAATTGATGACAAGAAAGTCTCAGGTTCTTTGTGGGCTCACACAGTAGGCGTAGAGTCTGAGGATATATGTGTCCCATGAAAATGCTCACCAAAGAGCCATCTCAGGGGCAGCTCTCAATAATCAGGTAGATGAGATCACCCATGCTATGAGGCCCATCAGCATCTTTTTGTAGTCACTGTGGTGTTTACTCAATGTACAAAGTGACCTTGCTGGCAGGAATGGAGGCTGTGCCCAGGTTTCGTAAGATTGACTTCCTCTGCTCAGTGATGACCTGAGGGCCCAACCTACCAAGCAGAGGTCACCCTGAGTACCTCATATGGCATCTTTCTTCTGAGGGACCAGTCGGCTATTGGTGGCATATTGGTTACAGTAGATCTTTTCCATCATGGAAGGGGAAGACACTTGTCTCCAAGCAAATATGTTCAGGTGCACATTCGCCTTCCTTCCTGCTAGTTATTCTGTCAGCACCACTGTTTATAGACACTCTCAGTACTTTATTCATTGCCTCTGGGTGGGAGATACATTTTATTGTGAAGTGCAGCAGTAGGCTCATGGCCATGGAGTTCATTGGTCTTACCATGCAAAGCAGCTCACTTTATGAAATGGTCTGCCAAATACTCAGTTTCAGTGTCAGCTGTGAGAGGATGCTCTGGGAGGTTGGGGCATTGTCATAGGAATATGAGATACACCTTACACCTTTAAATAGTAACCACTGTGTCATTGTCTCCCCCACTGCCAGAATGCATGAGGTTGAGTTGGGAGGCCCTGTTCGTGCTTACACCAAATAACCCACTGGGGTAATTTTTGCTTACATCTCTGCAAGCTTGGATTCAGTGGATTCTGAGGTCCTAGTGGATAAGGAAGGACTGTTCCCACCAGGAAACACAGTCATGATCCTGTTGAATTAGAATCTGAGACTTCTGCTTTGCTGTTTTGCATTTCTCATTATATCTGATTAACAGCCAGAGAGGAGATCCTTTGGACTGGATTGGGGAACTGATCACAATGATCAAGATACTGACTACTGCTATATAGTAATAGAACGGGGCTATATTTAAAACTCAAGGTGCTTAAAAAAAAAAAAAAACGGTAAAAAGGGTTAGCCCTGTGGCCTAGGGGTTAAAGGAGCAGGATCCCACATGGCTGAGTACATGGTTTAAGTCCTAGACATAGTGACTTGAAAAACATTCCAGGTGCATGTGTGTGAGTGCCCAAAATCCCAACAGGATGGGAAGACAGAGAAGGGATTGTCGTGTGACTGTACCCCATTGGGGGTGCTTTGCCCCCCCCTACTCTGGCAAGTGTATACACCCTCTGGCAAAGTGTTCACTGGGAGTCTCTTAATACAACCTTATCTAATAGGCCTTGTTAAGAGAAAACTTCAGCAAATCCAATAAAGATCCACCAACGGTTCAGATCCCGTGAGGAAAAGTTTTATGCCATCCTATGACATGAAAAACTCTATCCAGCAGAGGTCCTAGCAGAAGGTAAAGGAACATGGAAGGGGTGATTTAAAAAAAGTGATGTGAACTTGTGACCAGTTGCAGAAATGAGGACTGAAGCAGGTATGCACATTTTTATCTATATATTTTAAATATATATTATGTTATCTATATTTTATGTATAAATATATATCTATACATGTTAACCAATGATTTATTCCCCATTTTTTTCTACTTTTTTTTTCATGAGGAGTTGTAGTTATTCTTTTCTTTTTAATTTTTAAAAAATTTTGCCGGATGGGGATCAGCAGTTGGCATAATGGCTATGTCACTGGACTCCCATGTAGTCAACCATGGTTCGAGTCCCAGACCTGGTAGCTTAAACTCAAACTGGGTGTGTGTGCGTGCATGCCCAGGATCCTCAGAGGAGAATGGAGGAGGGATTGCGGTGTAGCCATTCCCCCTGGGGGGCGATTTCTCACTTTTCTCTATCTCTCTGGCAAGTGCATGCGCCCTATAGTAAAAACCTCTCAAAAAAAAAATTTTTTTTTTTTTTTGTAGGATGCATGTGCTGCCAGAGAGAGAGAGAGAGAGAGCGAGAGAGAGAGAGAGAGAGAGGAAGAGAGAAGGCACCACCTGCCCCCCATGAGAAATAGTCACACCACAATCCCATCTCCATTTCTCCATCTTGTTGGGATTTGGGACATGTATGCCCACCTGCCCAGTGGGCTGTGGGTACAAGACTTGAACCACGGGATCAACCATGTGGGATCCAGCTGTCTTAACCACCAGGCCACAGAGCCTGCCTGATAGTTGTTCTTTAGCTCAGAGCTCAACAAACGGTGAGAAGCCACATATAGTTCTGATGAAGAGGACTTTGTATTGTCTGGGGCATGGTGAGGGATGCGCTATGTCACATGGCACTTGGTGTTCCACCTTTCTGAAGAAAGTAACCACTTTCAATGATACAGAAGGTAATTGAATTCTCTAGGTGGAGACAGGATGCCATTTTAAGAGACTAAGGTGCTGGTAGAAGGGTGAGAATGAGTGCTTCGTGGTAAAGTGAACGAACTGTAATGGCCTTTTGCCCATTTTCTCTCAAATCTGGCTTTAATTTTCCTGTGCTCTGCTCAGTGTGGCAGGGGGCCACATTACCCAGACTCCCTTGATCTCTGAGTATTGCACAGCACCAGGCAATGAAAAACACTGGCAGAAGACAGCAGGGTAGGAGAGGAGAAGCCTAGACACACTCCCATCCCCTACGCCGGGTGGCATCTCTAGCAGGGGCTGGAAGTCCTCTCTATTGTTCCAACTCATTCCAGGCAAGTCTTGCTAGAGGCTAGCTCTTTGTGAATACCCTACATGCTTCTCTCTTGCCCTTGGGGTGTTATTGCCTTCATCTCAGAAAAGAAAAATAAATCATGGGCTGCCTTAGTCTCCCTTGTATCTCTACTCAGCTCTTTTATCACCTGTATGTCCAATTCCTTGTGTTAAATTACCACTGTTGGAAATACCTAGGATAGTAGGTGGATTTTCTTTAAGGTTTGTTTGTTTGTTTATTTATTTATTTATTTATTTATTTCCAGCAGTGAGAGAGATGGAAAGAGAGAGGCCACCCTCAGCAGGGTCCTGAGGCTGCGATCACCCCTAGCCTTTGGCCAGCCCTGGATAATGGGCGGGTGCATGCCTGGCAAACTGGTCAGGTCTGCAGAACCTGAACCAGGAACCTTCCCAGATGTAATTGTCTTACAGAACATTTCATCACTGTGCCACTGTCTGACCCCCAAGAACAGTAAGTTCTATTTTCCTAACTGGACCCTGACTGGATCCCTTATAAATTGTGTGTGTTCATGTGTGCACTTGTGTGCACATGTGTGTGTGTCTACAAGAAAAGTCAATCTGAGTAAAATATAGGCATATGTGTGTGTGTTCATGTGTTTATGTATATTCACATGGTGGGCATATAAATGCATATAAAATAAACATGGAAGGGTAGGTTTTCAAAGGGAAAGTAAAGGAGGGCTTTCAGTGTTCTCTCCGTGTATTTTTCTTTTCATGTGTTTTTACAACAAACAACTGTGTGGTTTTTAGATACGTAGTCGTTTCTGAGTGGTGCAGTTTCCTAAGTAGGTGCCCATCTGATGGCAGTCCTCAAAGCTTTAATACAGAACATAAGAGGATAGCTGTGGGGATCTTCCTCTCCCCACAACCTC